AAGTTGTTTACCACTGTGATGTGCGTACTCTTCAGCTCCTTCTTTATTAGGAGGCCATGAAGAGCCTTTCGCGCTTCTTCAACCGCGTTATCCGCCTGGCTGAACGCTATCACAACAGGCTTCTTCGTTTTGAGAACATTCGTCAGGATTGTAGAGGCAATGGAACATTGACTAGAAAGAAGGAAATAAATTTTTTCGCAGAACTTAGAGAAACAAGTATGGTAAGAATTTTCGCAGAGAAGAAGATGATTTTGGAAAGTAATGGCATTAAAATCACACTTTTATGTATTTGAATTTTTGGAAGAAGTAGTAGAAATGTTCAAATGAAAAAGAACACCATAAACACCCTGAAATTTTCTTCTCATCAGTTGATAGAACATTTGGAATTTTCTAGGATCTAAGGGGTAGAGGAGATTGAAAAAGTTGAAAAAGGTTCTACAGTTTGCAATAAAAAAAAGAAATTTAAATATTTTTAGGAATGAGGGCAACATTGTAAAATTTTACCTCTCAAATGTCCTTCCTTCAGTTTTGCTCGAATCAAACACGTATATAAAAACGTCTACTGTACATTTTCCATCGGGAAGGACATGCTGGTCAAACTCGGCCTCGAGACCAAGCTGCTCCTGGAACAGATTATTACATTGATTGCATGTCAATTCGTTCCAGAAAATTCTGTCTCAAAATATTCAAAAAATACAGAGAGTATGGTTGAAAATGAAATTGCTCGCCTTTTGTATATACATGAGCTTGTCTCTACTCTCCAGCCGTATCTGGCAACATCGTTTCGCATAGGGTTCCGATGTCGAAGGGCCAGCAATCGGCTCGTATGTTTCGTCATCGAGGAATTCTGCAAATAAAAAAATTCCCTCTAAACTGCTGCTAATGCAATTCCCTTTTAGAATTCTGTGGCATAATTTTGTAGGAAAAATCAAACATTGGTAGGAAACAAGATAAAAGATACTGTAACGGGAATGGCAGGTAATGGTTTTGAAATGAATTTGAGTAAACGTAGTTAAGGTTCTTGCAGAATGTTTGAAGGTGCCAAGGTGAGCAATAGTACCTCCAGAGCGTACGTTTAACTCTACTTTCCAAAACCAAGGGACAGGAAAATCAGCCTTTCAGGTGGACAAGTTGATTACCCAAAGTAAATGAAATATGACTGTTATTAAGACGAGGGTCAGAAATGTTTTGAATTATTCCCCTTTTGTTTTCGAGATACGCCATTTTACTTTTTGTCTGTAGGGGTAGAAATGTTCTGTACAATCAATAATATTCTTTCCTAGTATGAGAAACGAAAAAATTCAG